GGTTAATTGGGAGAATTGACTTTGGCAGAACACCTGCTTGCTCCTTTCAGCCTGGTATTAGGGACGCGCAAATAGATCTAGGAATGAAAGTGAGCTAAAACTTAATGGTAGTCTACTGAAAAGAATTTAAAGAACTCTTGGCAAAGTAATTACATTTGTATCTAATTTTAGGAAATTTTACATGATCCTTGAGTGTAAACCTAATATCTGGTTCGTAAAACTAAAGAGTTGCTTCATCTAAATTTATTCTTAAATTAAAATCTGGTTTCTTTCATAGGCCTTGTAATTGATGGGAAAGATTCCAAACCAGATAAATTGTCCGGTCTAGGGGAAGGGGAAGAAAATCAGGATGATGATGATGATGATGAGGAGGAAGAAGGTGGAGCAGAAACAGAGGAACAGTCTGGGAATGAAAGTGAAATGAATGAACATGAAGAAGAGGTATGATTTCTACTAAAATCAAAACTACTATTGTCTTAACTGGATGTTAGACTGGAATGAATGACATTTTCCAATGTCAAATAGGGTTTGTTGAACATCACTTTATTTTAGTGTCATATAGGCACTGAGCTTTAGCTTAAAATTCTAATAAACAGTTGTTAAGTCATCCTCTAAATTGCATTTTTTTAACCAAACAAACTGGCGAATTTGAAATGTGTTATATCAGTTTCCTTTTCGATGTGCTCATCTTGAAAATTCTCTGGAGAGAGAAGATTCACAAGACTTTCTCAAGTTACTTTCTTTGGAGTGTACTGACAATTTATTTTTGAGGCCTGTTTCTCATTGCAAGACTGGGCTCAATGAGCTGTGAAACTTAAGAATCTTACAGCATTCTGCAGAAGGTTTGAAATATAAAGAAAGGCTGGATAGGCTAGGACTTTTTTTCACTGGAGCGTAGGAGGTTGAGAGGTGACCTAATAGAAGTTTATAAAATAATGAGAGATATAATTGATGGTAGTTGTGTTTTCTGTAAGATGGGGAATTTCAAGACTAGGGAGCACATTATTAAGGTGAGAAGAGAGAGATTTTAACAAAGACATGAGCCAGAATTTTTGCACAGAGGGTGGTTTGTGTGTGGAATGAACTTCCTGAGAAAGTGGTGGATGTGGGTACAATTACAACATTTAAAAGACATTTGGATAGATATATGAATAGGAAAGGTTTGGAGGGATATGGGCCTGGAGCAGGAAGGTGCGACTAGTTTATTTTAGGATGATGTTCAGCATGGACAGGTTCGACCGAAGGGTTTGTTTCCATGCTGTATGACTCTGACTCTGTAAATTACCATGATTGGAAAGAATTGTTTCTGTGGGTACTTCTCTTTTACATTTGACGAACTAAATAACTGTCCTCTTAGCATCCCTGAATGTTGCACTCGTATTGAGATTTCAGTACTGTGGTGCGTTATTGGAGATATGAACCCTAATGCTGAGTTCCCATTGCACAAATTGAAGAGTGTTATGCCCTGTCAGTATTCCTTGATGAAGCCCGGCAAAAGTCTATTTAACTGGTCATTAATCTGATACTGTGAGATAATTTATTTCATTTGCCAATAAAATGATTCCATGCACAAGTTAAATTAATTAACGTGAAGCACCTCAGAAGGGTTTGAGAGGTATTAAAATGATAATCTGTATTGGTGGAAAATCAGACTTTCTTAAAAGATGAAAAACTTTATATATAAGGTTCAGAAAAGATATACCAGGATGTTGCAGGGAATGGAGGTTTTGAGATATGAAAATATACTGAGGTTTATCAAATCATGAGGGGCATAGGTAAGGTCAATGACAAGGTTCTTTTCCCAAGGGTGGGTGACTTCAAAACTACGGGGCATATTTTAAGGTGAGAAGAGAAGGATTTAGAAAGAACATGAGGGGCAACTTTTTTTTACACAGTGATTCGTGTGTGGAATGAACTGCCAGAGAAAGTGGTTCATGCAGGTACAGTTGCAATGTTTAAAAGTCATTTGGATAAGTTCATGAATAGGGAAGGTTTGGAGGGCTACAGGCCAAGTGCAGGCAGGTAGGACTAGTTTAGTTTGAGAACATGGTCGGCATGGACTGTTTGGACTAAAGGGTCTCTTTCCATACTGTGTGACTCCCTGACTCTAATGTAATTCACTAACAGCTTTGCAGTGAATTGCTTGGAAAGAGTAGTTACTGCTTTAGTGTGGGAACCTAACAGTCAGTTTGCACTCTGTAAGCTCCCACAAACAGCAGTGTAATAATGATCAGAGAATTCAACTTTGTGAAGTTGATAGAGGGATAAATATTGGCCGGATCACCGTAGATAACTCCATTGCTCTTCATTGAAACGGTGCTGTGGGATCTTTCACATCTACTTCAGAAGGAAGACCAGACCTTTGTTTAACATCTCATCTGAAATTCAGCAGTTCAGACAGTGCTGCATTGAACTGTTAACCTGGGCTCACATCCTGAAGTGGGATTGAACTTTGAGTCTGCCAACTGAACTAAAGTTGATTCACAAATTAATTCGGATTAAATTTTTAATTTTTAGCACCAGCTTTCTTTTTGCATCATTTACGTCGCAAACTAAATGGTCACATGCTTTTTTTTTTGATTTGTACTACTAATGGAAATGTGAATTGGATATTTTTAACCCTTGAGTCCAGCTCACTACTGAAATGTCTTGTTTTGTAACAGTGTTATCATCTTGGTCCTTTTAAAAATCTCATAATCCAAAATCTATACTGAGCCTTGAATAGCTTTCTGGTAGAATGGAAGCACTCTTAAATAATCTGTGATAATTTTGGGCATTCTGCAATCCAGTTCCAGAATGGCTAATGTGACCTTGGCTGTTCTGGAATAAATCATAAATGAGCTTGAAAAGCCCATTGAAGACCACGCATATGCTAATGTTTTCTCCATGTTGGCTCAAGATTTTCTTGATAACTTAAAAACATTGCAACCTATCGCTCAGTGTCTGTTTCACTATTTAATACTATGTTAACACCTTTTATGAAATTGGGTTGAAATATAACTGTGTTAGAACAAAGTTAATCACTGACAGTGCTCAGGTATGGCAAGTGGTGATTTTTGAGCTACAAGTATGGAAAGATCTCATTAAAAGAAGGCAAGTAATTTACATTGTGTTTGTGTAGGATAATATGTAGATGAGTACCTTTTTGTTGGGAGGAATGCTGTAAAAGCAACCACACAATACCTTTATAAAGGTTATGCTACACAGTAGGGTGTTGCATCCTCTTCTGGTCATTATACCTCAGGAAAAATGTGAGGATGTAGAGGAGATTTACTAGAATAGTTCCAGGGATGGGGAATTTTAGCTACAAGGTTAGGTTGGAGAAACTAGGGTTGCTCTCTTGGCACAAAAGAGACAGCGGAGATATCATTATGACAGGTTTTGATAAGGAGCTAACGCCAAGATGCATAGGTGACAGATGGCAAGAAATGCAGGCAGGACGTGAGGAGAACATTTTTACACAGTAAGTGGTAATGATCTAACACTCAGTAGCAGCAAGGGTAGTGGAATCAGAACGCTGAATAATTTTAAAAAGAAGTTGAACAGGCCTTTGAAAGAAAGAAATTTGCATGGCTGGGGGATTGAGTAGGGAAGCAGGAATGTGTGACTTGCTCCACAGAGAGCCAGCGCAGATATGATAGGCCTGAATGACTTGCCTTCGTGCTTTAAGTTAATCTATAGCCTTTATCCTCTGTAGAATAAGTAAATAGAGGAATGTATAGGCATGATCTATCTAAGAAACAAATAGGTTGAATTAACTGTATTATCTTATCCTTTCGTGGAATTATTCATTTGAACTTGTGATAATTTTATTTAGTTTAGGATTCAACAGAAGAGAACTTGTTTTCTGCATGCTTTTGAATGAAATACAAATAATGTTCATGTAAACTAGTCTGATGTTTTTTTTTCTTTTTAAAATAAACACATCCCCTTCCTATAATGTAGTTATGGCAGCTAATTGAGATTACTATCTGACTAAACGTTTTGAAGTAAGAATGTTTCCCATTTTTAGGATGCTTCTGAGAATGAAGATGATGATGAAGAGGAGGAGGAAAATACAGATTACCTGACTGACTCCAATAAGGAAAATGAAACTGATGAGGATAACAATGTAAGCGTACTAGTGAATCTGTAAAGAACTGTTTAAAGTGCATGTTCGTACTAAGATAATTTAGCTTTCAACACTTTCGTCGAGCAACTGATTTATTGTTGGCTGTCTGGATATGTAAGGGGCATGCAGAACATATGGTTATAAGGATTTGTAGAAGGCATTTGATCAATGTTGAGTAGCAGGCCAGTTGCAAAGATTCAAGTATCTTAGTTTGTGAGTTGGTTGAATGGCAGGAACAGAAAGGAATGATTGATGGCTGTTCCGTAAACTGGAGAAGGGTTGAAAAATCTGTACTTCAGCAATTGGTCCTGCATCCAAATTTGTTTTCTGTATTTTTGTAACCAGTTTTGAACCGAAGTAATATTGACACTGCACCCAAGTATACATTAGGGTGAGAGATATAGCAGGAACTGCAGATGCTGGAGAATCTGAGATAACGAGGTGTAGAGCTGGATGAACACAGCAGGCCGAGCAGGAAGGCTGACGTTTCAGGCCTAGACCCTTCATCAGAAGGGTTCATTTTCTGATGAAGGGTCTAGGCCCAAAACGTCAGCCTTCCTGCTCCTATGATGCTGCTTGGCCTGCTGTGTTCATCCAGCTCTACACCTTGTTATCTCTATACATTAGGGTGAATTGTGGCTCAGTTGATAATGCATGTTGATCTCCCCTTTGTCTGTCAAATTTCAGGATTCAAATCACATTCAAGGGTTTGAGCACAGAGAATCCAGGGTGGCAGTCCAGTGCATTACTGAGGTGTGCTATAGTATCAGATGCTGTCACCTTTCAGACCAAATGTTTAAAAAGGTCCCTTCAGCCTGCTCTGCAGGATGTAAAGGATCGCATTTTCAGAGAACTGCAGGGCCATTGTCCTTGGTGCCCTGTGCAGCGTTGATCACAAATTCAACAAAAACAGGCTATCTGGTTATTGAGAGGTAGTAAGAACTGCCGATGCTGGAGTCAGAGATAGCACAGCGTGGAGCAGGAAAGCTGGCGTTTCGGGTCGGGACTGAAATTTTTTCTGAAGAAGGGTCCCGACCCGAAACGTCCGCTTCCCTGCTCCTCTGCTGCCTGGCCCGCTGTGTTCCTCCAGCTCCATACTGTGCTGTCTGGTTATTGTCAATGTGTCTTTTTGTAGCATGTTGCCTGGCGCATTAATAGTGTCTACGTTTCAAAACCTACTTAATTGTTGTAAACACGAGGAAATAGCTGATGGGATTGTGAAAAGTGCTGTAAAAAATGAAAACCTTGCTTCTCTTCAAAAATGTTTGGTTAAAAATGAGGCAGAGTGCAAAAATCACATACAGTGTTAATGGGTTGAAGAAGATAGTGCACCTTTTGAGGTGAAGAAGAGTGCTTTAATGCATTTTCAGAGGTAGAACAAATAATGAGAAGATACAATTATTGGACCAGCACTGATGGATGAGCTGAGTGACTTGGAAATTCAAATAAAGAATTGCTTGAATGTTAGAGTGCAGGCAAGAGTTTTGAGTTTGTAATCGCATATCACAATAATGCAGCACAAAGGTGGATCTCCAGCTCTTCATGCTTGAGCTGCTTCTTTGCATTCTGTTGAGTACTAGAGTACAAGAGCACGATATAATGACACAGCATTTATGGCACAGCTTCAGAATTCTAATCTGCTTCATACAGTTGTTATAAATATATTTTAAATAAATTATTATTATTTTAGGATCGGAATTTTAATGTAGAGGTAAATGGGTTTTTGGTTTTAGTTCTGAAAGTGACTTTTTTTAAAAATGAAGTCAGTCACTTTTAAGTGTTCAGAAATGCTTTGCAAGAAAGCATGTGGCCTTAACTAAGTGAATAGACAAACTACCTGGAGAATTGATGAAACGTTTTCAAGTTGAACTTTTATGACATCCAGACACACAGACAGACTGACCAACCTACCCATCTGGGGCCACATTCGGGTTTCAGTTAAGAAGAACAGTTCTAGGACAGCAGAATGTCATTGCATCTTAATTTGTGGCTGCTGAGGCTTCCAGAAGTGAAAGAAGACTTAAACAGCTAAAACCGTTTTTAAGTAGGTAGGACTTTTCTCAAAAGTTCAGTTAGAAAAATTCCACAAAGTAGCCATTGTCTGCATATCTTGGGAGAGACAGTAACGGAGAACCGCATCTGGTGAATGTGTAGAAAGTTGCCAAAATAAAAAACATAGAACCTCATCAGTAAAGAAAGAAAGTTAAAATCAAGATAGGAATGGTATTTCCCTGGAATTGAGTCCTGAGAAGGATATTGCTGGAAAAGAAGATTGATTGTATCTTTTTTAAAATCTAAATTCATAAATAAATATAGCTTTTTTCATTTGTATAATAAACTTTTCGTTTGTATAATAAACTTTTTGTTTCTTTGTTAAAAGAATACTCGCAGTCTCATGAATAAGTTTTTAGTGACTGACCACAGGAGCCAAACTGCAGAAACAGAACTTGTGTTCTTTCAAACCAGGTTTCATTCTGAGATCTGGAGATAGTAGGAACTGCCGATGCTGGAGAATCTGAGATAACAAGGTGTAGAGCTGGATGAACACCCCTCATTTCTGAAGAAGGATCCAGACCCGAAACATCAGCTTTCCTGCTCCTCTGCTGCTTGGCCTGCTGTGTTCATCCAGCTCTACACCTTGTTATCTCTTCATTCTGAGATCTGACTTATCCAGTATTGCCATTAGCTGGGATCATAACACAATTTTTGAAAAAGATTTTAATAGTACATTGGTTTTAATTTGTGTTGTTATGATTTTTTTGTTAGGGATTTCCTGTAATTCTGTCCACCATCCAATTATCTTAAAACAAGAGGAAATTTTCAGGCAAAAGCCATGAGCTCAGGATGGTAATGGGAAGATTGACTGTTAATACCAGCAGCTTGGGGGGGTGTGGAAGCGGAAGGAGGGTGGTATCATAAATGATTTCTGCCTTTGAAAACTGCTCCCTTTTCTTTCAATGCTACCATAATGCCTTTTTCCGTGTGCATTCGCTAATTTTGCTCTTCAAGATTGTTAAAGATGGTTTGTTGTTCCTACATTTCTACACATTCCTCTGAAACTCTGTATTAGAATCCTGCTAATCCCCTCCCAGACCACTGAAACACTCCTAACCACAGTTATGGCTAGCACTATTATAATGACCATAATAATGAATTCTTTGTCATCCTTCTCTCTCTGTCTGCAGCTTTGGATAGAGTCAATCACACCTTCCTTTCTTGTATGCCTTTCCTGCATTGTACAACTTACTCAAATTGCATTTACTTCATTCCATTCTTCCCTATATGATTCTTTTCCCATCACTGTACTGTGACATCAGAACCATCCATTCCTGATCTGTCTTCATTATTTTGTTTGTGAACATTGTTACCAAAGGATAGAGAGTAGGCGCAGTCCCATAAGTGCAGTGGCAATTGGCTGCAGTTTCTGTTCTTCCTCAGTCTTTCTGTGGCCACTTTTCTACTGAACTCATTCATTAACTTTTCCTAGCTAAACATTGTCAAGACTGAATTCAAAAAAATTAGGCCTAAGTATAAACTGTATTCCTTTACCATGCAGTTGCCCTTCCCCCTTGCCAGCCTACCGTCTCAGCCTGATGAATCAAACTATTCAAAGCTCAGCTTCCTATTTCAACACAAATTCCCATATGCTCCTCATTACAAAGATTATTAGAGATTTCCAGCCTCTGCAAAGTTTTGCTGTTATTCATTACAAAGATTGTCTAGTTCCGCCTCTTAATATTTTTGTCCCTATCCCAGCTTGCCTGCTTTTGAACTTCATGCTTTTTGCCATCTCTAAGCTTGATTGCTCTGTTTTAACAGACAACCTTCCATCCTTAACCCTCTGTACACTTTAAAACATCTGTTACCTTTTTTTTTCTCAGCCAATTGGTTTCTGCCCCTCCAACAACTCAAACTCAAAATTGTCAGCCTTGTGATTAAATTTCTCTGTGGCGTCATGCTGTCTCTATATCCACCTTCAGCCCCATAATCTGTCTATTAGGTTTTTCTATCATGCCTGTGAAACACATGGTACATTTCTGTATGTTAAAATCTTTTCCTCAGTCCAGTTTGCTGCTGTTTAGGTCTCTATTTTGAATTTCCTATTATAGAGCGCACAGCACATGAGCAGTGTCTTTGGAACTATTTTATATTTCCTGATATTTGAGATTGTGAAACTGGTCGTATCAATATTTCTAGCATACCTAATCCAAATTTTTGGAAGTATAAGTGAAGAAAAGTTCTGGAAAATGAGATTAGAAGTGGTGTGTTTTGGTGGATTCTGTTTCACGTGTTAAGAGAAATGTCTGATAAATGTATAGGTGCATTATGCTTAGATTTGTTGAGAATGGACTGACTAGTTGCAGTTGGGGTTAAACTCTTTCAATAGTCCAGATTTTAAACTACATTTTTTTTTCAAAGTTTGAAAACCATGTATTTTTAGCAAATTCTGTACTAGGTTTCAGAATCTTTTAAACATATTTGGAATCAAACGTTCTGATTTGTTATGGGATGTCAAAATTAATCAATATACTCAAAACAGTACTACATTTATAATTTTGGTTTGTAGGAGGTGATGATCAAGGGCGGAGGCTTAAAGCATCTTCCCTGTGCAGAAGATGAAGAGTTCATTCAAGCTTTGGATAAAATGATGCTGGAGAATCTGCAGGTACCTCATGCATGGAAGTTACAAGCTGTGGTATAAACATTCAGATCAGACTACCTTGATGTGAGCTACTGGAAATTTGGACTAAACTTTTGTTTTAAATTCTAGTTTGAAGGTAACAAAATAGGAAATACTGAAAATTCAGGGGTTCGTTTGCATCAGAAAGAAAGGTTTTAACATTCTTTGTGCAAATTAGTACGCTGTTTTAATTAGTTAGGATGTTTTAATTTAGACCACTGACATGATCTCTTGGCATCAAAGTTTAAATTTTTGAAAAATCTTTAGCAAGTACTTGCACCAAAATCATTCCTTATGCATTCTTTGTGCAGCAGCGATCTGGCGAATCAGTCAAAGTGCACCAGTTAGATGTGGCTATTCCACTGCAGCTAAAAAGCCAGCTGAAGAAAGGTCCCCCACCCCAAGGAGGAGGAGAAGGCGACTCTGAAAATTCAGAAACCATGCAGTTTGTGATGCTCACCAGAAGGGGGAACAAACAACAGGTACTGTACAACCAAAAATTAATTGATTAAAATAATTGTCATGCAGAGACTTGTTTGGATAGCAGTGATGAGGTCTTACTTTGCAGTTTAAAGCTGGGAAGCCTGTTCATTGACATGGTATCCTATTCAACCCCAAGTTCAGTTTGAGTCTGTAATTGGCCTCTGTTGTCATGTTCCACCAGCATAACCTGGAATATTACGTATGGTTCTGATCTCTACGGAAGGACTTAATTGTCATAGAGGGAGGCAATGGAGGTTCAATGTAATGATGGGACTGTCCTATGAGGAGAGTTTTGAGAATGCTGGGCCTGTATTATCTGTAGTTTAGAAGAATATGTGGTGATCTCACAAGTGTACAAAATTCTTAAAAGGCCTTGACAGGTAAATGCAGAAAATGTCTCCCCGCAGGCTGTGCAGCCTCTAATTAGGTAGCACAGTATCAAAATAGAAGGCCAGCCATTTAGGACTGAGATGAGGAATTACTTCACTCAAAGGGTAATGAAACTTTGGAATTCTCTTTCCCAAAGGCCAGTTGATGCTTAGACATTAAACAAATTCAAGATGCAGGTTAATAGATTTCCAGTTACTAATGATATCAAGGGATGTGGGGTAGTATGGTAATATGAGAATAGAATCCCTATAGTGTGGAAACAGGCCATTTGGCCCAGCAAGTCCACACTGATCCTCCAAGGAGCATCCTACTTAGACCCATCCCCTTATTCTAAATTTCCCATGGTTAACACACCTAACCTACACATATGTGGGCTGTGTGGGGCAATTTAGCATGGCCAATCCACCTAACTTGCACACCTTGGACTGTGGGAGGAAACTGGGGCACCCGAAGGAAACCCAGACATGGGGAGATTGTGCAAACTCCACACGTGCAGTCACCCAAGCATGGACTCGAACCTGGGTCCCTGGTCCTGTGAGGCAGCAGTGCTAACCACTGAGCCACCCCACGGTTGAGGATAGAGCAGGTTCGAGGGGCTGAATAGTCATCTTATCATATGTTCCTGTTCCATCATTCATGTCTGACCCTGCCTTAGCTTGAAACTGTCATTCATGCTGTTGTCATCTCCAGACTGAACTACTTCAATAATGCCCTGTGAGCCCCATTCTACTGTCCCTAACCTTTAGCATGTAAACAGTTCTACTGCTCATGTGTCCTCTTCGCCTGTAATTCCTACCCTTGCAGACTTGCATTGGTTCCCAATCTCCAGTGCTTCAAACTTAGAACACTCATTCTCATATTTGAAACCCATCATCTTGCTCCTCTCTGTCTCTGCAACCTCCTCCACCTCTAACACGGCCCTTTTCCTAAACTATCTACTGCTCTGACTCTGAGATTTTGTACATTTCAAATACCTTCAGCTAACTACTGGCTGTGTGACCAGCTGTTGGGGGCCTAGCTCCAGTTATTTATTTGATGGAGTTAGAGGAAGGAATGAATAGAAACAGTGCTGGACCTGTGAAAAATAATTTTGCCTTTAATGGGACTATTGGCGGTTTGAACAGAGCTGAAAAGCTAGCGAGGTCCCTTACTGCTATCTTCCACTTTGTCCTCTAGAAGAGGGCTCAACCTAGGTGTAGTTGGATGATGGATGTCTCGGTGCTTGTAGAGATCTGCAATGGCTGTGTGAAGATGGCATGAGAGGTAGATATGGCAACATGACAGCGGATCTCCTGGCAGGAGCAGCCACCAGCAGGATTGCTTGAATGACATTCAATGCCCAGCTCGTTTTAAAGGTGGCGCTAACTTAATTGAGAATGGATATTGTATTTTTACTATCAGCGCTTTGTAAACAATACATAACAACAATACATAACAAAAGTGCAAACTTACTAACTATACCTCCTATATTCTCATCCAAATCATTTGTGTAAAATGACGAAAAGCAATGGATCCAGCACTGATCCTTGTGGTACACGGCTAGTCACGGGACTCCAGACCGGGGGGGGGGAACCCTCCAAAACCCTCTGTTTCCTATCTTCAAGCCAATTTTGTATCCAATTCGCTAGATCTCCCTGGATCCCATGTGATCTAACCTTGCTAACCAGTCTGCCATGCAGAACCTTGTCGAATGCCTTGCTGAAGTCCATATAGACAATGTCTACTGCTTTGCCTTCATCGATCTTGAAATCTCTTAAAAATAAAACTCCAAGTTAGTGGGACGTGATTTCCCATTCACAACCATGTTAACAATCCCTAATCAGTCCTTGCCTCTCCAAATACAGGTAAATCCTGTCCCTCAGAATCCCCTCCAACAACTTAGCCATCACAGACGTCAGGCTCACTGGTCTACAGTTTCCTGGCTTTTCTTACCACCTTTCTTAAATAGTGGCACCACGTTAGTCACCCTCCAGGCTTCCAGCACCTCACCTGTGGCTGTCCATGATACAAATATCTCAGCAAGGGGCTCAGTAATCTCTTCCCTAGCTTCCCACAAATTTCTGGGATACACCTTATCATGTCCCAGGGATCTATCTATTTTTATGTGCATTAAGACATCCAGCACCACCTCTTCTGTAATGAGGATGCTTTTCAAGACATCACTATTTATTTCCCCACGTTCCTTAGCTTGCACATTTATTTTTGATTTTCTGTTGTGTTCTTCCCACTGATTTTTGTTTTGTTCATTTAAATTAATCTAGGAAATCAAATTCACGGATCTAAATTAGGTGTTATAATCTTATCTGTTTGCAGCTGAAGACCAGATTACCTGATTTGTATTCAGCTAAATCTTCCCATAAATAGTTCAAAAGCAAAATCGCAAGATGATTATGGATAATAAAAATCATTCTACCCGTCTCAGCTCATTCCTCCAGAAGAATCCTAAAAACCCAATAATGGCAATATCTGTTTCAGAGATAGTAGGAACTGCAGATGCTGGAGAAATTCTGAGATAACAAGGTGTAGAGCTGGATGAACACAGCAGGCCAAGCAGCATCAGAGGAGCAGGAAGGCTGACGTTTCGGGCCTAGACCCTTCTTCAGAAAAATTCATTCATTTCTTCATTTCAATTCTTCATTTTTTCTGAAGAAGGGTCTAGGCCCGAAACGTCAGCCTTCCTGCTCCTCTGATGCTGCTTGGCCTGCTGTGTTCATCCAGCTCTACACCTTGTTATCTCAGAATGGCAATATCTGGTTTACTCTTAACTAGTTACAGGGTTTTTGTTTCCAGGGTCTTTCTGGGTTTTTGATATCCGAAGTGAGAAAGAGAGAGAAGAAATACTTTCTGGAAGCCCATTCTATACGTTGAAGGACTTCCTGATATTAGTCCTGTGGCCTGCTATTTTCACACTGTTTAAAGTACCTTTTCAGATTTACTTTTTTATTATTTACAATGTCACATATTTCCATAAAATCAGCTCTTAAATGCCTCTTTTTTTAACAGTTCTCTGAAGTGCTTCAGGATTTTTAAAACCTTCTAATGGTGTTATGCAAATGTTAAGTTCCCTTTCTAAAAGAGATAATGAGGACTCCAAGTTCTCCATTCTTCCTAACTGTGACCTGTAAAGTTGGAAATTGGGTTGTGTACTATTGTCTTCATTGTGAGCAGAGCGTCAGTGTTCCCTTCGCATCTTGGTGACCAGAGTTGACCCAGTACTAGACATGTTTTCTAACTATAGCACTCAACAATTATTGTGAACTTTCTCTTGCTTGTAATTTATTGCTTTTACTACATAAATGCAAGTTTGTTCCATCATTCAGACATTTATTAGCCTTATTGATTGCTTTGCTAACCTACTAAGCTTCCTAGTTCTTGCCTTCAAAATGTACAGCGTGCAAAATATAATTTTGAAAGTGTTTGACTTCTGAAACAAGTGTTTGGTTGTTCGGATTTTGACAGATTGCTTCAGAGGCTGGTCAGAAACGTTATGAAGTGAAATACATGGGACGTTTATTTTTGCAGCAGGTTTAAAAATTGACCCACAATCACCAAAGAAGACAAAACTGTCCAATTATTGCATCTGACCTGATTATGACAGCTACTTTTTCGGTATTGTGTCATGACCAACTCCAGCATAATTTATTCTCTTGAGGAATCAGTATTTGAGGAATCAGCCTGTGGGCTGCAAAAATTTCAGCACTTTGCTGTTAATAACTAAGGATAGCATTGATTTAAAAATAATCTGAATGATACTTAATACTATTTTAGCTCGTTATGTAACCATTTGAACTTTAGAAAAAACCTAGCAGACTGTTCATCGGAAACATAGGTGGTGTTTTGAAGCCTGTTGTATGTTAAATTACAACAAAAATGCATGCATCAAGTTTGTGGTATTGGAGTAATGAATCTGCACTTTGTTCTAAAGGAGGTTTTGCTGTTTTCTAAAAGGGTGGATTCTTGCTGGCAGCAATGAAGAAATTCCTGTTCAGATTCCAAAACATTGAACAACACACATTGCGTACTTAATTATATTTTAACTGGACCAAAAATAGGATGTTTTTGTCAACCACAGAAAAAGCTCCAAGAAATAACTTCTCTTTCTAGTATACTAGCAATCTTGGATTAGGGTGAGACTGCTCCTCGAGCTTTATTGTGTGGAAACCTCGACACAAAATTAAACCTGACATAATGCAGGAGGTTGGCATGCAGATCTTTTGAGTGCCAACATCTCTCAAAATTAACTTTCTGTTTAACCTGGAAAGTATGAAGTTTAAGGGCAGGAGACACCTGGGAGCACTATCGTTTATAAGTGCCTGTCCGAGTCCCGTACCATCCTGATTTGGAACTGTATCGTTATTCCTTCATTTTAGTTGGGTCACAACACAGGAGTTCAATACTTAACAGCACTGACAATGTACCTATTTCACATGAATTGCAGTTGTTCAGCATGACAGTTCAGCTTTTTTATAGAACCCTACAGTGTGGAAACAGGCCATTCAGCCCCATGAGTCTGCACTGACCCTCTGAAGAGCACTCCACCAGACCCATCCCCATCCCCTACCCTATCCCGGCATTTCCCACGGCTAATGTACCTAACCTGCACATCCCTGAACACTACGGATAATTTAGTATGGCCAATCCGTGCACATCTTTGGAATGTGGGAGGAAACCGGAGGAACCAGTGGAACCCACACAGAGACACAAGAATGTGCACACTCCACACAGGCAGTGCCTAATGGGTGGAATCAAACCTGGGTCCCTGGCACTGTGAGGCAGCATTGCTGGCCCACTGAGCACCTTCTCAATGTACAGTAAATGCTAAAGTACCCAAACCCCAAAGACAAATTTTAAATCATCCATGGAAAATATTATTCTGAAGAACTGCATAACTGTCGACCTCGTTGTTGTAGACTGGTACTCTGTTTCCTTATACTGTGTATGTAGCTACATATAGCCTCAGCTTAAAAAGACTGTTAAGATCCAACACTTAAATTACAATTTCAGTCATTTCTGGAACTTTCTCTAAATTCTGTTCAGGCTGGTTGATCAACTGTGAAGTACTTTTTGATGTTTTGATGCTTTAAAGGACCCATGTAACCGTACAAGGTTTCTTCAGGGTAATACATTCTGCAAGCAGTCATCATGTTCTTGCAAAGTCATTGTGGCTGTTAAGGAGGTTTCAGCAATGTTTGCCATAAATACACAAGCAGTGTACCAAAAGTACAAGTGTCTGGTCTGATGAGTGTTAGTTTATTCGAATATTGTTGAAAGGTGGCAGCGCCTCAAGTCATGCCACTTGTTTGCATCAAGTCATGTACTGCGGATAGGATGGTTGTTCTAAGTATCAGGGTACGTGCTGTTAAAAATCAAACATCATATTACTAGGAAACTAGACAGAAGCTTCATTTTAAGCAGCGCACAATTTTCAGATGAAAATGGAGCAGAAATCAACAGAGCAGAATGTATGCCACTAAGTTTCAACCCTCTGCATGCGGATTATCTGAATAAATTTTAATGAAATTTGACTCAATGCCTGCATACCATAAAGAGGAAGACAAATGCGTTGTTTATGCCTCTTAGAACAGCTACTGATAACACAAACTGAAGTGTTTGATACACTTGTCATTCAGATTTCCCTCTCTTCTTCTTCATTATTATCTTGCAATTGGCAACTGTTGCTTCCCCTGCTTTTGGAATTGCCCTTACCATCTTTCAAATGGGTCTTTGTAATGTATTGGCTTATAGCAACTATCTCTGAGACATTGCAGCTGACATCATACTCCATCTGCAATTATTCTCCTAATGCAAATACACTTTTATTTAAACCAATTAAGTTTAAAGCTACCAGATTTATTTGAATGATGTAAGTCAGGAAGCTTTTTTGTTCAGAGATAGCAAGAACTGCAGATGCTGGAGTCAGAGACAACACTGTGTGAAGCTGGAGGAATACAGCAGGCCAGCTAGCATCAGAGGAGCAGGAAAGTTGACGTTTCGGGTCGGGACCCTTCCTCAAATGGGGAGGGGGAAGGGAACTGGGAAATAAATAGAGAGAGGAGGGATGGGGCTGGGGAAAGTCAGTGGGATGGTGATAGGTGAATGCAGGTAGGGAGTGGTGGGGAATGGTCAGTGGGTTGGATTGGATGGATAGGTGGGAGAGAAGATGGACAGGTTGTGTCAGGTCAAGATGGGGATGAGAGGCCAGGGGTGGGTAGATTCTAAAACTGGTGAATTCCATGTTTTAGGCCATAGGCTGTAGGCTTCAGAGGCGGAATATGAGGTGCTGCTCCTCCAGTTTGTGGGTGGTGTCATTGTGGCACTGGAGGAGGCCCAGGATGGATATGTCACCCAGGGAGTGGGAGGGGGTTTTAAAATGGTTGGCGACCGGAAGGTGGTGGTGTTTGTCATGTGCAGGTGCTCTATGAAATGGTCCCCGAGTCTCCGCTTGGTCTCACCAATGTAGAGGAAGCCACATCAGGATCAATGGATACAGTAGACCAAGTTGTCAGATGTACAGGTGAACCCCTGTTGGATACGAAAGATTTGTTTGGTGCCTTGGATGGAGGTGAGGGGGGAGGTGTAGGGGCAGGTGTAGCACTTCCTGTGGTTGCAGGGAAAGGTGCCAGGTGCGGTGGGGTTACTGGGGAGTGTGGAGTGGACGAGGGAGTTGCAGAGAGAGCGATCCCTACGAAAGGCAGATAGGGGTGAGGAGGGAAATATGTCTTTGGTCGTGGGGTTGGATTGTAGGTGGTGGAAGTGGTGGAGAATGATACACTGGATGTAGAAATTGGTGGGGTGATTTGTGAGGACCAGAGGGGCTCTGTCTTTATTTTTATTGGGCTGAAGTGCGGGAAACGCAAGAGATGTGTTTGACGACATTTTTGATCACCAGAGAGAGGAAGTTGAGGTCCTTGAAATAGGAGGACATCTGGGACATCTGGGATGTCTGGGAGTGGACCACCCCATCTTGGGAGCAGATGTGGCATAGGCGAAGGAATTGGGAGTAAGGATCACATTCTTGCAGGAGGGTGGGTGAGAGGAGGTGTAGTCTAGGTAGCTGTGGGAGTTGGTGGGCTTGAAATAGATGTCAGTGTTGAGGTAGTGACCAGCAATAGAGGCAGAGGGGTCCAGGAAGGGAAGGGAAGTATCAGAGATGGTCCAGATGAATTTGAGGTTGGGGTAAAAGGTGTTTGTAAAGTTGATGAACTGTTAAAACTCCTTGTGGGAGCATGAGGCAGCACCAATACAGTCATCAATGTAGCAGAGGAAGAGGTGGGGATAGTGCCAGTGTAACAACAGAAAAAGGACTGTTTCATGTATCCAAAGAGGCAGGCATAGCTTGGGCCAATATGGGTGCCCATGGCCGCCCCCTTAGTCTGTAGGAAGTGGGAGGAGTTAAAGGAGAAGTTGTTCAGGGTAAAGTCAAGTTCTGTTAAGCAGATGAGGGTGTTGGTGGAGGGTGACTAGTTGGGCCTACAGGAGACGAAGAAGAAGAGGGCTTTTAGGCCATCTGCGTGTAGGTGGGGAGTTCCTGGACCGGGGGTAAAGAGAGTCAAGGTAAGCAGAGATGAGTTTGGTGGGGCAGGAGCAGGCAGAAACAATGGGTCAGCCGGGGGCAGTCAGGTTTATGGATTTTGGGAAGGAGATAGAAACAGGCGGTGAGGGGTTGGGGAAAGATGAGGTTGGAGGCTGTGGGTGGGAAGTTTAAAGCTACAAGATTTATTTGAATGATGTAGGTCAAGAAGCTTTTATGTTCACCTAGTTCACTAAAAGTCAGGGTGATGCTTGGGTGATGTCTCTGCTCTTAAATACCTAATTTAAAGGTTCAGTAATTGCAAATTATTGGGTGCATCCAAAATAATGGAATTGTATCCCTGTAACAGAAAAGGAAAGGAGAAAATTGTTCTGGGGAAAATTATCATCAGACATGGATATATTTACAGATCAGATGGGAATCGATCTAAAACCAGAATAATCACTAACCTCAGTAATTGAACTATAGTATACACTATCGGTAAAACTCGCTGACCTATTGGCGTAAAGTTTTCTCTATTTCTCACCATTCTCGGCTGCTTTGAAGTAGACAAATCTTGACTCCATTCTAATAGAAATTGGGTTGTGATTTTGCCAAATGAATTTGATGTAAAACCTTGACTGTGAAAGAATAATTAAAATTGAATCATGTTGACTTTTAACCTAAGTTGTATTATTTTTGTAGCAGATGTGTTGGAGATGAAAAAAAATCATTTGCCAAGAAACTGATTCACTTTACAGTTTCGGAACACAGGTTGTAATTCTGCAGAAAACCATTGCTAGGCTTTGCTAGGTCATTAATCATCTGTGCAAAAATCCATTTCTGACTGTTTAAATTCTTTTTATCCAGTTTAAAATACTGAACGTACCAATGAATTCGCAGCTTGCTGCAAATCACTGGAATCAGCAACAGGCAGAACAGGAAGAAAGAATGCGTATGAAGAAACTGACACTTGACATTAATGAACGGCAAGAACAGGAAGACTACCAGGGTAAGAAAGGGGGATAAAAGAGCTTGCAGTAATTGCAGTGTGTTTATAATTATAGTAGAAAGTAACCTGAGCAGTCATTCTGCAACTAAAAATGATCTTTTTTGGTTTCTACATCCGTACATATATTGGTGCATCCATTATGTATATGCTGCACTGTCAGCTGAGCTGAGATTTGGGACTGTGCTAACCTATTTCTAATTTGCTACATTCACAACTTCAGGTGTTCAAGTGAATATAATCAGGGCTGTTTTAGCCCCATGAGCAAGAAACTGGCAAACATATTGGCCAATTGGTTTACATGTTTCCCAAGCTTGCTTTGTGTTAATGATGATTGTCTGGGAAGTAGGAATAAGGCTAGAATTTACCGAATTATAGCCTTTGTGTTATATAGTTATACACACAATTTTGTATATTAAGTCTAGTCCTGAGGTACAATGAACTTTTGTAGAAAAAGTTCAGCATAGCTGAAAGACTGCAACACTTCACTTGAAGACTGTGATGATGTGTAATTATTAATAACTGTGCAGGTCCCAAATGTAAGCTTTAATTGTTTGGAACTGCAGCTGGAGTCTATCAGTGGTGGCAGGACAAGCTGTTAAGAATCTGGGAGAAGAATATAATTTAAAATATTGCCTACAAGTTTAAGATTTGGCAGGTGCCTTGTACGATTGCAGCACAGGCTTGGAATGCAGATTTTTCAAACTGTGCTGTGGTTTCCTACGGTCATGAGGCTCTGGGAACACAAATGAAATGTTTGAAATGGATGTCAGATGCACAGGAACATTTTCTGCAGCTAATACCATTGGAAAGGTCTGGCAAAATGGAAGACCTTGCTCCATAGAGTCATACAGCATGCAAACAGACCCTTCAGTCCAACCAATTCATGTCAAACATAATCCCAAACTAAGATAGTCCCACCTGCCTGCTCCTGGCCCATATCCCACCAAACCTTTCCTATTCATGTACTTATCCAATTCTTCATGTTTTACCTGAAATCTCTAAAATCCCCATTCAAAATGAAGAAATCTTTGCACAGATATTCTTTTCTTTTATTTCCTCTTGAAACATGTTGGGGTGGTTAGAATAGTGCAGTAAATCTTGAGAAATTAAATATAGCATTAAATATAAATGTAACTATTGTTATAACCTGAAAATAGATGTAATATTTGAAACCGCAGTAGATTTAAACATTTTGACAAAATGTTAACTCTTCCATTTTTGTACAGAACTTCATCTGTAAGATGAATTATATGTGTCCAAATGAATTAACTTAGATTTTGTTTCCATTAATTCCTGGAGCGTCAGCGTTACTAAAAAGCCTAATGTTTATTGTGCGTCCATGGTTGCCCTTGAGAAGGTGATGTCTAACTGCCACCTTGAATTCCTGCAGTCTGGGTATCATAGATGTTGTTGTGGAGGGGATTCTACCATTTTTATTCATTGATCATAATAGAATACAGATATAGTTCCAAACGTGTGGGTGTAAGGGATGGAACCTGTATTCATTCTAACTCTGTGCATCTGCTGCCCTTGTCCTTGTAGGTGGGAGAGATCACTGGTTTGGCTCCTTTTTGGAGCCTTGGTGAGTTGCTGCAGTGCATCGTGTAGATAGTGTGTCCTGGCCACTGTGTGCTGATGGCGGAGAAAATGCTTGTGTAATTTAGTGAATGGGTGCCAGTCAAAGGGCCTGTGTTATCTTGGATGGTGTGGAGTTACTTGAGTGTTTTTGGAGCCGTACTTGCCCAGGCAAGGGGAGAGAATTCAGTCACCTCATGACTTCTGTCTTCTAGATGGTGAACAGGCTTTTGGGAGTCAGGAGATGAGCTACTCTCTGCAGATTTTCCAGTCTGACTTGCTCTTGTAGTCACAGTTATCCAATTAATTTTCTGATCAATGGTAGCCCCTTCAATCCTGATTTGAATCTCAGAATTGTTACAGTCAGGAAGCTCTGGGAACACAAATGAACTGTTTGAAGTGGATGAGGGATGCACGTACATCCCATCATGCATCAAGTTTCCACTGAGTGTTCAAATGAAGAATGCACCTTGAACCATTCTTGTGCCTCCTCCCGCAACCCTTTGCATCTGTCTTTTTTAGATAATTCACTTTTGAATGCCTTGATTGAACTTGCCTCCACTGCACTTTCCAGCTGTGCATTCTAGATTTTGACCACTTGATGGAAAGAGATTTTCAATGTATTGCTACTTTAGAACTCTGGGAACAGTTTTTTCTTATCTGTTATGCCCAGACCCCTCGTGATTTTGATTACGTCCATAAAGTTGTCTCTCAGCTTTCTCTCCTCCATGGACGATAGATCCAACTGCTCAAATCTATCCTCATAACTAACATTCCTCATCCCTGAAATAATTTTCTGCTCTCCTTCCACAAAGTGTAGTGCCCAAAACTGTAAACAATTCTACAACTGAAGCTGTGCTGGTGTCTTAAAACCACCTTAGTGTTTAAAGTTTTAGCAAAGATTTGTAGCTCGGATTGTGGATGATGTTGTTGACCTGCTCGCCAAGCTGGCTTGTTTTTGTTCAGACATTTCGTCGCCATGCTCGGTGACATCATCAGTGAGATCTCCGATGAAGCAATGTTGTTCTACTCCGTTTGGAATTTATACTGTGTAGTCTGTTATAGTGAGTAGTGTCATTTCCAGTTTTGTCCTGTATGGGGTCCAGTTCTATATGTTTGTCGATTGCATTATGGGTTGAGAACCATGCCTCGAGGGATTCCCGTGCGTGTATATGTTTGGCTTGGGCTAGTATAGTTATGTTGTCCTAGTTAATCTGATGATCTTCATTGTCTGAGTGTATCAGTATTAAGGAAAGTTTGTCATGTCGTTTTGCTGCTAGCTGACGTTTGTATTCTGATGGCTAGTTTCCTTCCCGTCTGTCCAATGTAATGTTTGTGGCAGTCATTGCATGGTGTTTTGTAAACCACATTGGTTCTGAATGTTATGGGGATAGGGCCTTCAATCCTTGAGTGTTTGTTGTACAGTGGCTGTGGGCTTGTGTGCCACCATGATTCCTAGTGGTCTTAGGAGTCTCTTTGCCAGTTCTGATACGTTCTTGATGTAGGGTAGTGTGGCCAATGTGTTAGGGCGTACTGTGTATTGATGACAAGAGGGCTATAGTAGCCCATGCTCGGGAATTCCTCGAGGCATGGTTCTCAACCCGTAATGCAAACAACAAACGTAGAAGTGGACCCAAATACAAACCCATACAGAACAAAACCGGAAATGACAGTACTCACATAACAGACCAGACAGTATAAATTCTAAACAGAGTAGAGCAACATCACTTCATCGGAGGCCTCGCTGATCATGTTACCTAGCATGGTGGCGACATGTCTAAACGAAAACAAACCAGCTCGGTGAGCAAGTCAACAACCTCACCCCCTTTGTGTTTTACGCCCTGATTACTAAAGCCTAAGATAGTGTATAGTATAATAATTGCATTCTCAACCTGTCCTTCCATCTTCAGTGTCTTCTGCACATTTACATCTGGATTCCTATTCTCCTGCATCTCCTCCAGAGTTATACCATACATTTTATACTGTATGTCTCTCCATTTTCCTTCTACCAAAATGAATTATTCACATTTTTCTGTTTTGAACACTGCCGGCCACCATTGGTCTGACCAAAACTATCTGTGTCCTTTTTCAAGTTCTACACTAAACTCCTCTTGGATCACAACATTGCCAAGTTTCTTTTCATCAGCAAATTTTGAAATTGTACCCAGTTTGTCAAGGTTTAGGACATTCATATATATCAAAGCAAGATCAGTGATAAGTTTGTTTTAATTTGGGGAGGCAGTGGCGGGGGGTGGGGTGGGGTTGGGTCGGGGGGGGCGTTGTTGGGGTAGGTGGGGTGGGGTGGGTGGGGTTGTTGGGGTGGGTGGGGGGGAGGCGGGATCTGATTGCATAATGAGCAGTGCCACAGCTGATGTATTGAGTATTCCTAATATGATACACCAATGTGGGTTTATTTGCTCATCATTGCAATTTACATTATTCATGTCATTTCCAGTTTTACAACAGGTTGTGTGGGTAAAACTCATTCTGATTGAAGCAGGGTTTATTCAATGCTGTTGAATCAGTGTCAGACTGTCTATTCAGAGTTGATAGAGTAATCTCACACTCAAATATGGCTAAAATCATTACTCTGTTTACACAAAAAAAAAGCCACTTGGGAATGGTGTCAAAAGCTGATACCTTTCACTTCAAGGGGCTTAGGCAGGATATTTCCCCTTGTGGAAAAAAAAAAGTGGGAAGCACGGTGGCTCAGTGGTTAACACTGCTGCCTCACAGCGCCAGGGACCCAGGTTCAATCCCACCCTCAGGCAACTGTGTGGAGTTTGCACATTCTCCCCGTGTCTGCGTGGGTTTCCTCCGGGTGTTCTGGTTTCCTCTCACAGTCCAAAGATGTGCAGGCTAGGTGAATTGGCCATGCTAAATTGCCCATAGTGTTCAGGGATGTGTAGATTAGGTGAGTTTATAGGGAAATGGGTCTGGGTGGGAAGCTCGGTGGGTTGGTGTGGACTTGACACACTGAACAAAATGAACACACCTGAAGAAGAGGAACTGAGAGAGAAAACAGAAGAAGAGGAATAAATAAGTAAATGTAAGAGCATTTAAATGATAGATTTAAATAAGAACAGCAAAGCAATCTTTTAAAAATCAAGCACTCAGTTTCAGGAATTTAGAAGTTGTGACTGATAGCATGCAGGATGTTTAAGTTGGAGCCAGCAGTGCTTCTGCTTTGATGTTTTGATGTACTCTTGTGTTATTAAAATTCTTCTGTGTTGGACTTGGAGGCAAATGTCTTATAAATAGGTAAGATCTCGCATTATTTGAACTATTTTTGGCAATGGATATATGAAACATTGCTAAGCTTAATAGGAAACAATACCTCAGTGGTTCAGTCCAAGGCTTTAATGGACACTTTTGAACATAGCATGTTACCAGTCTTGGCTTTGAGATAACAATTTAAGTAATTTTATTAAATGACTTTGTACAATACTTAAAGTAATTTAACAATTAATTAGATAGATGGTTTCTTCCAAGATTTCAGATCACTCCTGGTTCATTTTGTTTCAGTATTCCATCTTAGAAGTGTTATTTATTCTTCCTTATTTGTTCTACAAAGTATCATTAGGCCACTAGGGGTGTAGAGAAACGAATGCAAAAACAATACTGAGAAATGTGCTGCCTTGAAGAACCAGCTTAGACAGATGACTTTTTCCCTCTCTGCAATGGTAGGTCCTTATTTCATGCCACATCCTTAGTTTCTTTGCCTCAATCTGCAATATTCTGAATCTTAACTGTTGGGTGCACTGCAAAACACCTTTCCACAGTGAAACTTAGAAGGCATTTTCCAGCTCCTCAAAGCAACAACTTGCCATGCTGTTTCACTGGTACCAGATATCTTCCCTCCCTGCTCACCATCCCTATTCCTCTTGCCTACTTGGATAGTGAGTGTTGTCAGGCAATTCACATCTGTAGATCTTTCTTTTTTGCATAGAAATGGCATTATATTCTCAAGTGCCCTGTGTGACTTGGAATTGACCAATTTATGTGTAAATGAAGTAACAATATGCTTAGTCTCCCAAGATGCATTTTGCAGAGGCTGGCTGTGTCCAACCTCTTAAAACCTTTCCTAAAATTTTGGATAGAGCAGTCAGAAGTCATGCAAACCAGAGATTTTTAATCACTGATTATAGAATCTTCTGTTTTGACAGGCCACAGAAAGAGTGCTACTTGTGTTACTTCGTAGACTCCTCTTTAAAAAAAGAAAGGGGAATTTCTCAACTCCTACTGAGCATAAGCTTAAAGTTCAAAGTTCTATCACTCAATTTATTCAGCCCATTGGTTAATTTAAGCTTAAAGACAGCTTTGTTTCAACTTTGTACTTCACACTTGCATTGATTTGATTCAACCCTGTTTCTGCCTCGAAGATTGGCTGGAAAAAGTGTTCAGGTAGCCCACAGGATTGACACCACTGCTGTTCCAAAACCACAAACCTTTTTTCATTTCTTTATGCGGAGATTGAAAAAATGATTAGAAAAATGTGATTTTAGTACAGGAGCCATTCGCCATCTAATTTTTGCATTGGTTTCAACTTTCTCTGCAAAACAGTAATATTTTAGTCACTGATCACAGTTATGGATTGACATGACACTACATATTGCTAACTGAAATGCTCAACTGGTCAAATAGCCTAGGCTGCTTTGTTTCTTTTGCTGGGGTTTGTGTAGACAAGAACGTGAACCCGTAGCTTCTGGAGGGGAGAGGTAAAACAAAATTATTTATAATTTAATCCTTCCTGATTCAGCAACAGTAATTTGCTTGACCACATCATGAAAATCATAATTAAAGGAATCTTATGGTCAGTAAAAAGGTTAAAGCAAGAAGGACCTTTATTTGCCAACTTTACATATTGAGCATTTTTCTTTTTTACTGCCTTAACTTCTGTTGTCCCTTATTTTCTGCTAAATAAAAATTCTGATAGTGAAGCACCAGAAAATGAGGGTGAAACTTTAAGTTTGCAATGTTTCTACTAATAATTTTAAATTATTATTGCAGAGATGTTACAGTCCCTGGCACAGCGTCCAGCTCCAGCAAATACCAATCGTGAGCGGCGACCACGGTATCAGCACCCTAAAGGAGCACCAAATGCTGATCTCATCTTCAAGACAGGGGGGAGGTAAGGGTGTTACAACCCTCCAAGAACTCTGCATTCCTCCCACTCTGGCCTCTTGTGCATCTCCCACTCCCTTCACCCCATCGTTGGCTGCCATGCCTTCAGCTGTCTAGGCACTACACTCTGGAAATTTGTTATTAGACCTCTCCGCCTCCCTCTCTTCCTTTAAGATCCTAAAAACCCAACTCTTTGACCAGGCTTTTACTCAACCTTCCAAATATCTCCTTTGAACATCAATTTTTGCCTGATTACACATCTGTGAAGGGCTTTGGGACAATTTAGTGTGCTAAAGACATTTCAAAAATGCAAAAAGTTATTGTTGGATATTACTGTATTAAAAATGAGCATGCTTCTCAACAGGTTACTCAGCATATTTTCAACCTGGCATGCAGAGACCCTTGCTTCTTGGGATGAATGATTTTTTTTTTTAAGGAAGTATATATTAAGGAGGTTCTGTAAAAGAGTATTGAATTATCAAGATTGATTCACTGAACACAACAGGTAGACTAAGTCTAAAGACCTTGATAACATTTCACTTCAGGTCATCGTTCTGAGGTATACAAAACTAGTCTAAATTTCCCTCCAATTTTCCTTCTCTCTGCAGACAAACATTTTTAAAAATTTCTTTGCATTTTACCCATAACAGAACCTATGTGGAACCGGTTTTGTCAAGTTGTAGTTATGGATCTCTCCATGGAGCATTTATATTAAGAGCTCTTTAAACCTTATTCCATTACCCAGGAGTTCATGGCACGTTTTAACAAAAATGCTTCTTGTTAATTATGGTTTATTTGCCTTTATTTTAAACTGTTCTGCAGAGGCAATGGAATGTATGTTATGAAGTAGGAAGATCTTTATTGTTTGAATGCAAATTCAGTTATCACAAGACAAGTAACTTGGCACTTCAGGTCATGTCCATTTTCGTGAGCACCCTTTTTAATGCCTTTGTTTAAATAGGATATAACTATATTTAATGATTATGTTTGTAACATCTGCTCCAGGGTTCATTCTATTTTCGGTTTGAAGTATTTTCAATCATTCTTGATCTGTCATGGGGTGCAGGGATGGTTGTGTACTCATGTTCATTTTGCTGCCACTTCACACTTAAGCTGTGCAAAAAGAGCTTGTGTCTGAATGCCAAACTTCATACAAGCCTGGGAGAAAATGATTAGAACAGACATTGGGTACTTTACTATCCTTGTCTGTAATTGTAAAAAATAATCAAACGTTGACATTGTCCTGGTTTGAAAAGCGGATACTTTTTGGAGATTTAATAGATTTTGGATGAACTTTACTGACTGTCTTCAGACTCGAGCGATGGCTCTTGCAAAGTTATAATGTGGCAACTCGAGCATACCTACCTCACATGAGGTGTCAATTTTCAGGAATGATCATCATGTGAATAGGAAGAAGCAGATTCAAGAGGTAACAGGATTTATTTTTTATGTGCAGTATCTATTTAGAGCAAATCATTTTGGCGAGACTGAAAGCCATTAAGTGCTGGTAAACTATATTTCAGCATGAGGGAAGAAATGAGCCAAGGAAGAGGGAAAGTAGGATTTCAAAAGATGGGGGGCAATTATTTGATGCTACTCTGCATTAATTTAGTCAAGCTTTATGCAACTTAGTTCGGAGTGTAGATTTATGCTGTATTTTTGTACACAGATGTACAGTGTAATCAGGGAAAGCAGAAAAATGAGAGAATGTGAGTTCCGTGCCACTTTTCCTCATTTTAGGCAGTAAATTACCAAGTAGTCATTCCAAAGATTATTTAGCAAGTTACCTGCCCAAGACTTTCGGGCAAGAGTGTGGCGTAACAGAGGCTACAAAGACCTTCAAAATGTTGGTTGGGTGAAAGGGTTTCTGATTTGGTGACTGGTGTGGTTTCTGTCTGTATCAAGGAAGTAGTATCCAGTTGAATTGTATGTGGTGTGCTTAAAAAAATGATCATTCTAGTGAAGAGTTTGCATTGTTCCTTATGAGAACAAAGAGACTGAAACTGGTAAAAACAGTGGGGTAGACGGAGCATAATTTCTGGCAAAAATTGTGGAAATTATGGTACATGATAGTATTCGATTCACTGTGTTAAAGTAATTCTAAGTATTAGTTGAATATGTATTTTGAAAAATAAAGATGACTTTGCATTTTTTTTACTGTAATTGTTTCAAGTTGTTGCATTGTCCCTTCAAGTTCACTACCTCAATCAGAAATGTAATGGAAAATTAATTGCTAAGTGGTGGTATGAGAGTTGTGCTACGCTGAATTGAACAGCAACAAACGTTACACTGGTGTTCATTTTTAAAATCCAAATATGGAAACATATAAAATGTATGTGCTAATTATTTTCGGTTTTGTTATAGATGAGTTTCTAGAATATGGAGAAAAGGATAAAATTCGTGAATAGTTAGAAAGTCATGACATAATCAAAAATATTCATTAGTTTGTGAAAAGCATGTTATATTTGATTAATTTGAGGACATTAAGTCATTTAGATAAATGTAACAACGGATATTTCATAAGAATTTTCAAAGGGCATGGTAAGGTATCATCCGAGAAACTTGCTATAAGTTAGTTACATACTAAAGGGAATATAATTGAAATAATAATTATTGGGGAACAGGAAGCAAAGAGTAAAGATCAATGAATATTTCCAGATTGAAAAATCCATAGGTAATGGAATGACACAGATATACCCGGAGCCTTTCCATATGTAACAGTTGCATGATCTTGAATGCCCCGAATGACTACTGAAGTACTAAATTATTAAATATCAAATTGGGAAATATGGCAAAATAAACAATGTATAGTGGCTCAATGGTTAGCACTGCTGCCTCACAGCACAAGGGACCTGGGCTCGATTCCAGCCTTGTGTGGAGTTTGCACATTCTCTCCGTGTCTGCGTGGGTTTCCTCCAGTTTCCTCCTCCATCCAAAGATGTGCAGGTTAGGTGGATTGGCCATGGGAAATGCAGTGTTATGGGGATAGGGTAGGCTCTGCTCCTTGGAGAATCTTTGTAGAACGGCCTTTATCTGCACTGTAGGGATTCTATGGTTCTATCAGTGGGATAGCAGAAGTATTTAGTGTTACGAAGAAGCATAGTAACGGAACATACTGTCAATATGCATGAATAGAACAACAAAAGTACAATAGGCTACTCACTCAATAGACCTTTAAAGGTTGATGTCAGGTAGAAATGAACATAAAAAGACAAATAACATTCTGTATTACATATATAGGGAGATCTTGGAAATAAAACCAAGTAGTAATGTTGAATTTATTCAAGGCTTACAGCATGGGTATTGCATTGTAGCAAAGTTGATTACAATTGTGAACAGAGGTACAAGGTTACGTTTGTGAAGTTTGGTTGAAAATTGAAAGCCATGGTTATGGGACATCCGGTACACGTGCTGAAACTAAAAGATTTTTGAGGTTGAATAACAAAACTTTGTCCTGCAGGTGAATCGGTAGCAAAATGGGCAGAGACTTGGGCTTATTAGTGGAAGGAAAGCAACACAATCAATGCACAATACTTTTCTGTTGTTCTAGAATTAGTGCTGGAGATGGTCCTCTCGTATTGGGATTATCTTTGCATTATCCAGAACTTGATTTGTAGTTTGACATGAACTTTCAAGCAGAAACATGGAATGCAGTTTTACTCAGGATGTACATGTCCAAAATAAACTTGAGTAAATTTCCTCTGTTTCTCTGCTTTATTTTCTTTTGATGATGGAACAATGCGCTAATTTGGATTTGCTCACAGTTTTGTACTTTTCTTGATTTGAGGAATTGTGATGAGTAGGAGGAGGGAACCTTGTTGTGAGATTTGAGCGTCAACCGGCAGAGACATGTTTGCTGTTTTTTTCCTGACATGGTATTTTGGGGAATTAGACCATTTGCAAATACAGTCAGTATGGCTTATAGTTTTTAAAATAAAAACTAAAGCAGCTGAATTAACATTTTTGTTTAGTCAGAAATGGTTTTCAGGGGCTTTGCTTCTTTAAAAATACTGAAGTTTACATAGTTTAAAAAGTATAAATTTACAGTATCAGGTTAATTATGGCTGGGTTAGCAGAAAAATCAATCCAGTTTAATCTCGTGGATGAAAATCCTGCAGCAGAAATTGCAGCAAGTGTCTGCAAAACTAAACCATCGGCAATGGACAGAAAGGTCTTTTGTTCAAAATGCTCACTTTAGAGGTTTGTGGATTTAATTTATGTTTTGATTTTTGTTTGATTCTTGCTGTGCAATGCTACACAATTCAATCCTGTTGTGTTTAGTGCAGCCTCTGTACTAACATATAGTAGCTGCAAAATATTTTCATGAAGGGAATTGTCTTTGTCTTTTTTATTGGTGTGTTATAGTGATGTAAGATTTTTTTCTCATACCTGTTGTCGTCTTTTGAATTTTTATTTCACTGTGAAGTTCTGCCTTGCAATGATATCATCTGACTATTTGAAGTCTAATCCATTTCATCAAGTTCAGAACTGGTTCAATTTAATAAATTTCTGTCCAAATATTATTGATTTCTAGTGAAATTGAACATTGCCAAAATACTGTTTACATTGAAAAACCTTGTGACCACTTTTATTTTTGGTTCTTTTTCACCTCTTTCACCTGCCCTCCACAAAATTAAGTAGCTTTTTTCATTTAATCTTTTATTTTATATTGAATTATTTGTGAGCTGTATGTGTTTCATAACGTGGTCAAAACATCTAAAAGGTCTTCCAATTCCTGTTGAAAATCATATCAAGCTGCGTAATTTAGGAAATTTTAAATGATTATTTCAGCACATGGAAGCCTGCAGGCAGCATGTCTGAATTTATTGAACTGATCTTTGCACATTCTTGCTGGTCAAATTCAAGTCTGGTTTTGTACTGTGGAAAAAAGTTGTTGCAATAAAGTGGTTTGGTGTCTATTTTATTGTATATCTGTTTTAAACCCAGATAGTTTCCAAGATCCTTATTTCTTGGGATATGGTGTTGTAATGGTAATAACCTGCAGGC